CTCAAGCCTTTCTGCTCCTATGATGCTGCTTGGCCTGCTGTGTTCATCCAGCCCTGCACCTTGTTGTCTCGGATTCTCCAGCATCTGCAGTTCCTACTATCTCCACAGATTCATGTTTGACTTCTATATGGAATATTTTGTTAGCAGCAGTTAAGATTCCACTGCAATTCCTTGACAATGCATCCTTTTATTTTCATTCATGGTATGCGAGTATCATTGGCAAGGCCACCATTTGTTGTCATTTCTAATTACCCTCCTGAGGAGGACAAAGATAGCCTTAAACCCCTGCATTCTATGTGGTGCAGTGCTGTTAGAAAAGGAGTTCCAGGAATTTGGTCCATTAAAGAGAAAGGACAATGATATATTTCATAATCAGGATGGTATGAAACTTAAAGGGGAAGTGCAACCAGTGGTATTCCAATATGTCTGTTTTCTTGTGCTTCTAGATGGTTGAGGTTGGGTGTTAGAAGGTGTTGTCAAATGAATCTTAGCAAGTTTCTGCAGTGCATCTTGTAGATGGTATACATGGCACCTTGTGCATTGATAGTGGATGGATTAAATGCTTAAGGATGTTGGTGAGGTGTCAGCCAAATGCATTGCTTTGTTCTGCCTAGTATCAAGTTTCTGGAGTGTTGTTGGAGCTGCACGCTTCTGAGCAACTGGATAACATTCCATCACACTCCTGAATTGTGGCTTGTAGATGGTAGGCAGGCTTTGGGGAGTCAGGAGGCATGTTACCAGCCACAGTACCTTAGCCTCTGACTTGCTGTTGTAGCTACAAGGTTTAGATGTATGATCCAGTTAAGTTTCTGGTCATTGTTTATGACCAAGAGACTCGTAGTGGGAATTCAGTGATTCACAAGTAACAGGATTGAATTCTCTCATTTTGGACATGGTCATTACTTGGTGCTAATGTTACTATTCAGTTATAAGCCCAAGTCAGAATGTTTTCCAGGTGTTGCTGTATATGGAAACCATATCTGTAGATTCATGAATGACATGGAGCACTGCAATATCAGCAAATATTTCAATTTCTGAACTTAAGCTGGGAAGATAGTCATTGATGAAGTAGCTGAAGATGGTTGGACCTAGAACACTACCTGAGGAACTCCTACAATGAAATCCTAGAGCTGAAATGAATGACCTCCGACAACCGTAACTGTCTTTCTTTATGCTAAGCCCGTTTCCAACCAGTGGAGAATTTTCTCTCAGATTCCATTGACTTCAGTTTTTTGGGTATTGTGGATGTCTTACTTGGTTAAATGCCAGGAGTAGTCACTCCCACTTCATTCTTCCTGAGAAATGATCACAATAAACCAAGTGCAATCATGTCTGAACAGAAAAATAATACCCTTTTCATTATCCCTTCACTAAACTAGAGATAAGAAACCACAAATATTTCATATTTTGCCTGAATAAAGAGTAAAATTAAACTGAAAATAATAACTTGATTATCCAAATGGTTATGTCATCCTGCAAAAAATTAATTAAGTGAGCCATTAAAATATCTTTATATAATTTGGTTTAGTCATTATATGTTGGATTTTTAAGAATTAAATTGGGATTTCCTGCATTGTTGCAGTTTTGAATCTGCCTACCACACAGGTGTCAAAGACTAACATTATGATTGAGAACATTCTATAACAAATGCAATTACTTTTGTACCAGTTAAATTGAGGCTGTGTAACCAAGCTTATATGGTCAGCACTGGCACACTGGTTTCGGCTGTTAAAATATTTTTTCCCTTCTTCCAGTTTGCCAAAGATCTACACACAGCTGAATATTGATCATTAATGACATTGGCAAGGCCACACAATTACAACTTACTTTTTGTCAGTCCTTTAAGTAAGCCCTCTGATAGGAAGTTACGCCTTTATTTTATAAATGAGAAGAAAATTGTTTCAGAAATTCGAGATTTAATGTTACCCTGTCATCAGAAAAATTTATAAAGCTGAGCGCAATGTGTTGTCAAAATCATTTCTTGATGTCCTAATTCACGAATTGTTTGTCAAAAAATCAAAAGCCTTAGTAATGTAAACGCTGGCATCAAGCCTTACTCAAGTTCTTTTTCAGCAAGTTTGAAAAACATATCTCTAAAATTCTTCAGTTTTGTGGGATGCTGCTTCAGTATAAAGTGAGTAAAGTGACAGAACACAATTCCTCATGAAGCAGACATAGTGCCATGCAACATATTATTTTAGCAGGCATTTCAACTTCAGGGGTTTGAACGTAGTTCTTGCTGAAGTTGTAATCCAAGCACACAATCTCTGCGCAATGGGTAGCTTCTAAAGACAGATTTGTAGTTCTTCTATTCTATTTCTTACTGGACATTTAAAATTTTCCAGTAATGTATGCTACCTCAATGTGTGTGTGTGTATGTTTAAATAAATTGGGAGGTTAGGCCTTTGAGAGCTTTGTGATGTATTGCTACAGTTCAGTAGTCTGTTGACACTCAAGGCTGTATTGCAGTCAAAAGAAAGGTAACTAATTTATAGGAATTAAAGGTCCTTTGTCCGAAGATGACAGAAATGTTCCAATATTGGGAACTAGATCAGGTGTCTGGAGGTGATCTGCCACAGGAAGATCAGGATCTAACCCTTCAGGCAGGCTTTGGGGATCTCCCTGCTTGCTTGGCCAGAACTGCAGTGGTAGTTCTCCCTGGAAGGGGTTCCATTTTTAAATTAAAAATATAGTAAGTTTCATAGATGAAGCCTTGAGATGCTGGCATCCCCTCTATGTCTTGCCTAAACTGTAGGATGTTGTTTCTTCAAGTTAAAGAGCCCTCAGCTTCAAGAGCCTATCCAGCATCCTTGATTGTGCTGAGAGTCAGTCCTCTGCAAATAATTGAACAACTTGGGAAAAATCACCACCAAGTATCTGTCCCTGACTCAATACGGATTGTGATCCCCTTTTCACCTCAATGCTGGTTCAATCCCCAAACCCCAAACTCCAAATCCTGTCCTTTTTGTCTAATAACTTAGGTGAAAATTTGCCACTTAGACAAAATGTACGATTTTAATGGGAGCAGGGACACAGGAGCTGATTCTGCATGAAGAAAACATAATTACCTTAAGAGGATTATGAGGGGCTCACACAGTGCTACATCCAGATAACAGTTGATTCAAGAGGTGGAATAGTTATGACTGCAGCAAACCTGCATGGCAGCAATTTCATATGAAATGTAATAATCTTGCAATTACACAAGATTGTGGTACATTGGTGTACTTAAACTGAATAATTATTTAAACCCTATCATTTGCCTCTTTTTCCTATTTCAGACAAAGCTCCACCCAGAGCACAGAGATAACCTTTGTTAGCTGTACACATTGAACTCCTGGGGCTTGGCCTATTCAAATTTCTACCCTAGATAGTATGATATTTCACAGTTCTTATGAAGAGAATTTAGTATTTTATGTTACATTTTGTTGAACATTATGACCTTTATAAGTTGTTTTTTGCTGGGTAGTGTATCATTTTTGATACTTTATTCATGCCAGTACTTTCTTTCATATTTCTTAGTTGCTGCTGCTATTTAAGAAATACCATTCCAAGTAGTGAGAATGAGAATTCCTTTGGGGTCCCAATATTGCTATATGGTCCAGATAGGGAAGTCATAAGGAATGCTTCATGAGACCAATTTCATCTCCAATGTCAAAAATCTGGAATCAGTATTTTTAGAACCGGGCAGACATATCAAATGAAATTGGAAGTATAACCATATTGCATTCAGTGTGCAAAGCCACAATTGCCTAAATTATTTGACAAAGATGAAAGACTGAGTCAATGCCTTTTAGGAGAATACAGCTATTTTTTCAGTTAATAGTTGTTAGCCCCACTGAGAAACTCCAGAACCACTGAAGAACACCTGTTTTCTGCCATCGATCCCTGTATTTTAAGAAGTATGCCATGCTATTTAGGGACAATAAAGAAATGTATTTAAAAGACTAATGATGCTTCAAGTGCAATCTCCATAAAAGTGTGACAGTTCACAATTTAAATTTGTAATTGGTTGATGGCCTGCAGAAAATATGAACAAAATTGTGTGTGGTTACCTTTACCTTCTCCCATATATCAACCTCCTCGTGTGCAACTTCTGTCTTTTCATATTGAAAGGTGACTTTCAGCTGCAAATATGGGCATCCTTCTTTGGTTACAGATGCTCCTGAGCCATAATCCAGTTCAAGCCTATATTTGCCACTATTGGAATACCAGAACCAAGTGCATAACACAAAATCATGATCAAACATCAAATTGAGATACAAGAACATTTTACTTCTGTCTTTCAGAAAGCATGCTTGTCTTTCAAATACATGAGCTTATGTCTTATTATTTTTATGTGTCATATGCATATCAGTGCAAAGACAGTGCTGTATTTGTGAATTAAAAAACTGATGTTTTTTATCTTTACAGAACTGTTGCTTAAATTTTTCATATATGTTTCTCCTCATTGCATTTTGACTTGTTAAGAGGGTGTCTGAGGTCTCACCAGCCACACATAAGTGTCTTTGGAGGAAGGTGAGGTGCAGAAGAGCATGTTAGTCAAACTACCTGTGCATCCTATCTTTGGGCAATCTTGCCAGAGGTGGGTGAAGGTTGGTTCAGCTACACATGCAGTAACAGAAGGTAGCCAATTAGTGGAAGTAACTGGCACTTGGGGCTAAAACAGGGAAACTGCCAGAATCTCGTTGGCAGCAGACTAGCCCCATGATGCAGGTAAACCCACAGAGGCCAGGCCTTAATTGACTGCCTCCAGTAAGATCACATAGGTAGCCAGGCATTAACCTTTGGTCCCAGTCTCTGAAAATCTTCAAAGGATAAAATTCCCCCTATCTCAACTCTAATAACATCTTTTCATGCATGCACTTTTATAAGATTTGCTCTTGTTACTAATGCTGTGAATAAATATGGAAGCTTTATGTATAATTTAGATTTTATCCAGGATCCTCTGGGCCAACAAAATGGGAAGAAATTCATCAGCGAGTGCTAAAAGTTTTGAAGTCAAACAGTGCAAGACAAAGACTGGATTTTGTAAGTACAAGAAAAATTTGATTTCAATAGTCTTAAAAACCTTACAGTTGAAAAAAAATCCATGAGGAACCTGAACCTGAAGTTAAATAAGAGTGCTCAGTTTTGGTACAACCAAACTGAAGATAAAGCAAACTATTTGAATTTCAACATGATTATATTTTGTGGAGTTCACGAATGTTTGACATATACTTTTTTAAAATAAGTAGTTCTAATTTAGAAACAAAGTATTACTTTATGTATTAGTTCCTTAAGTATTACTGTTGTAGCTTCTATATCCTACCCTGTTTCTCATTGTCATATACAATACATAAGCTAAGATGAAAATGAAGTATTAATTCTCAGGGCCCACTGGGAGCAGGACAGAGGCAGGTGTGTGGTGGGCAAAAATAATATTGTAGTCCTGGGTGCCAGTTGCTTCTGTGCCAGTAACTTTCACCAGGATGGGGGCAGGGCAGCTCCAAAATTGTACCCAATCCATTAACCACAGCAATTAAGATTGGTAAAGGACTCGGGTGACAGGGTTGCTCAGTGATTAGCACTGTTGACTCACAGCACCAGGAACCCAGGTTCAATTCCAGCCTTGGGTAACTGTCTGTTTGGGGCTTTTATGTTCCCCCTATGTCTACATGGGTTTTCGGTTTCTTCCCACAGTCCAAAGATTTGCAGGTTAGGTGGATTGGCCATGGGAAATGCACTGTTACAGTGTTAGAGTAAAGGGGTGGGACTGGGGGGATGCTCTTCAGAGAGTCGATGTGGACTCGATGGGCTGAATGAACTGCTTCCACACCGTGGAATGATTCTAAACCGCAATGATTCTAAACAAAAACTCATTGAGAGTTCCTTAAGAAACAAATCTCAGAATCTAACATGGATATAATGGCTGTGCACTAGATCTGGGGTAAACCAGGAGCATTATGGTGGTCACTCACTGGAGAACCAGATGTGGTCAGCCTAGACAATTAATGGGTCCATGACCAGTGCACAGTTATCTCAGCCATTGGCCTACAGCTTTAGTAAAATATACAGTAGTTCAGGAAGAAGGTGCTCTCTGTGCTCATGGATAAGTGCCAACATCTTCTTTCTGAGACCTCACACTCACAGGGCCACCACTCATTTGAAGTCTGGCATTCTGTTCACTGGCTACAACTCTCACTATTGCATGCATAATGTTTGCTCAACAAGTGTCACCTACTAACCCTTCCAATTCTCTGAGAATCCTACTCACTCACTCGTAACAGCTGCATCACCATAACTGCTCTTTCATCCTATGTCATCATACTCAATCCCTGCCTTTGTCATATTGTAATAAAAGTTGCCCCACAACCGGAATGAAAGGGATAAGCCTGGTGGGAGCAGCAGACTTCATATTCCTCACTTCCTCTGAGAAAGTACTTGATTTGACCAGAGATCAGCAGGATACTCATGTGGTATCAAGGTGACATCAGTGTCAAACCGACCCAGTAAGCTTCATTGTGCTGTGCTGCACAGTACTGCGCTGCCCCTTACTAACGCCAGTGCTAACTCATTCATAACCTGCCCAAGATTTTATCACTTTTGCATAACTAACTCACCCTATTCTCTGACACAAGCACCAGTATCACTGAATGAATCTCCTCATGAAGAGAACAATGTTCCACCTTCTCTAAGGAGACCAAGACTGAACCCTCAGAGGATGCACTGGAGCAAGGCATTAACCTGCACCCTCCACTAGCACAGAGACATTCGTCTTGGTGGATACTCTGTCTAGAGTAGACTCAAGAGCACAATCTGATAAACACATCACTGACTCATCTCTGCAGCTCATCAAGGGTAAAAGTTTCTGCTATCCAGGCACCTGCTCAGCCGGGCAGAAGGTGATTCCATGGCCTTAGTGATTAATGATTTCATTGAAATGTACAGACAGGGACAGGAACATCAAATAAGTTTTTCAGAAGCCTTTGGTAGGCTGGATCAAAGGTTGGAATCCATCAACATTAATGTTCCTGTGCAAGCTGTTTGATTGTCTGCAAGGAGAGTTTGGTGACTATCGTGCAAACCCAGCCCAGCATATTTAGTGTCACTACCTGCACTCCATATGGGCTCAGTATCACTGGCAAAGTGACATAGTAATGAGGGATCTTTATTTTAACGAAGAGATGTTAAAAACGAAATTAGGAGATCCAAAGGGATAATGCCAGGTAAAATAAAAGATAATCCTAAATTATTTTACATGTACATTGGGATAACAAGGGAAAGAGTAGGTCCACTAAAGACCACAGTGATAATTCGTGCATGGAGTCAGAGGATGTAGGTAGGGTTCTAAATGAATACTTTTTGTCAGTGTTCACTAGCAAGAGGGACAGTGTGGGTATAGAAATCAGGGAGAAACTATGATATAACTAAAGAAATTAGCATAGACAGAGAGGAGGTTCTGCATGATCTGGCAAGCTTAGAAGTAGATAAATCTCCAGGGTCAGATGAAATGTATCCCAAGCTGTTGAGTGAAGCACAGCAGAAGTGGAAAGAGGATTGGAGGAAAGCCAATGTGGTATCATTATTCAAGAAGGGCGGAAGGAAACTACAGGCCAGTCAGTCTAACCTCAGTGCTGGGGAAAATATGGGAAGCAATTCTGAGGGACAGAATTAATCTGCATTTGGAAAGGCAGGGATAGATCATGAACATGGTTTTGTTAAGGTAAGGTCACGTCTGACCAACTTGATTGAATTTTTCGAACAGGTGACCAGGTATGTAGATGAGGGACATGCTTTTGATGTAATCTGCTTGGCCTTCAGCAATGCTTTTAAAAAGTCTTGCCTGAGAGACTGATAGCAAAGGCAAGAGCCCTTGGATCCACGGAAATTTGGCTAATTGGATACAGAATTGACAAGGTGGCAGGAAGCAGTGGAGGATGGTTGAGGGATGTCTTTGTGATTGGAAGCCTATGTCCAGTGAGGTTCTGCAGGAATCAGTGTTGGAGCCCTTCTTGTTTGTGGTTTGTATAAATGTTTTAGACTTGAATGTAGGAAGGATGATATAAGAATTGTTGGCGTGTCAAAGGAATACATGATGAATGATAGACCCGGGAAGCACCACAGATCAGAGGTGTGCATGCCTGGTCCCTTAATGTAGCAGAATATGAAAATAAAGTGGTTAAGGAGGCATATATTAGCAGCGGCACAGTGAAGTTTAAGAGCAGAAAGGTTATTCTGAAACTGTCTAAAATATTGGTTATAAGGGCATTGATAGAGTAGACAGGGAGGAACTTGTCCCTTTCAATGGGGATCAACGATCAGCGGGCATAGTTTTAAGATAAGGGACAGGAGATTTAGAGGGGGTGTGAGGAATAATATTTTCGCTCAGAGGATGGTGGAAAATTAGAAGTCACTGCCTGTAAGAGTCGTAGAAGCAGAAACCTTCATAACATTTAATAAGTATTTAAGTATGCATATGCAATGCCAAGGCATACGAGGCTATATATAGACCAAGTGCAAGAAAATGGGATTAGAACAGTTAGGTGGTTATTTTTGATTGGTGCAGACTTGATGGGCCAAAGGGCCTTTTTCTGTGTTGTAGACCTTTACGGCTCTATTTCCTCATATACCACATGCTTTAGTATTACTATCCAACTTCCTGTGGGGACCTTGTCAAAAGCCTTCTAAAAATGCAAATATACTACATCTCTTGATCCCTTTGATTATTTTGTTCACAATACCCTTAAAAAAATTCAACAGATTTGTTAAACAGGGTTTTCCATTTGCAAGTCTGATAATGCCCAATCAGATCATTTTATCCAAGTGTCCATTTATCATTCCTTTATGTTAGATTCTAGCATTTTCCCTACTAATGATGTAAGGCTGTAGTTCCCTATTTTTTTGCCTTGACCCTTTCTTAAATTGTGGGGTGATAAGTGTAAATTTACAATCTGCCAGAATCATTCCAGAATCTAAGGAATTTTGGAAGATAATTACCAATACACCAACTATCTCTACAGCCACTTCCTTTAAAACTCTGTGAGAAAGACTATCAGGTCCTGAAACTTGACAACCTTCAGCCTATTAATTTTTTCAGTGCAACCTTCTTACTAATAATAATTTCCTTCAACTCCTCATTCTCCCTAGTCACTTGGATTTCTGGTTCTGGGAGATTTCTGTTTCTTCCTCAATGAAAACAGACACAAATTAATCATTTAGCTTCTCTGCTATTTCTTTATTCCTCATTATAAATTCTCCTGACTCTGCTTTTAATGGACTCCTATTCATCTTAGCCAGATGTTTCCTTTCAATGTATCTGGAGAATCTTTTACAGAATATTTTGATGTATTTTGCTGGATTATATTCATATTCTGCTCTTCTCTACCTTATCAGTTTCTTGGACTTCTTTGGCTGTGTTCTAAAATCTTCCCAAACTTCAGATTTATTGCTATATGTGGTCACTTCATAAGCCTTTTGATATTATACAATCCTTAACTTGCTTTATCAGCAACAGTTGACTGACCATTTTTGAATTTTTGCACCGCAATGGAATGTATGGTTGTTTTAAGCTATAAGTCATTAAAGACTGTCCCGACGAAGGGTTGACTTTCCTGCTCCTTGGATGCTGTCTGACCAGTGGTGCTTTTCCTGCTACACATTTATTGACGCTAGCTTCCAGCATCTGCAGTCCTTACTGTCTCCAAACCTTTAAAGACTGTCCATTGCCTATGGACAGTCCTACCTTATAATTTATTTTCCGAATCCAACTCTGCCAACTTGTGCCTCATGTTTTTGTAATTTTCCTTATTCACATTTAACACCTTTGCTCAGATTGAACTACCTCACTTTTAAATGTAATATAAGTTCACACATATTGTGGTCATTCATCCCTAAAGGTTCTTTCACAACAAGATTATTAATGAGAGACCAAAAAAAATACAGATGCTGGAATCCAAGGTAGACACACAGGAGGCTGGAAGAACACAGCAGGCCAGGCAGCATCTGGAGGAAAGGAGCAGTCAACATTTTGGGTATTACCCTTTTTCAGGACTGCTATTTTATTAATGAGCCTCTTTTCAATTCAGAATATTAAATGCAAAATAGCCTTTCCTCTATTTTGCTCTTCAACATCCTACTCTAGAAAATCATCCCTAAGATTCCAGAAAACTGCCCTCTACAATTTTAGTACACAAGTGATTTACCCAGTTGAAATGCAGATTGAAGTCACCGATGTGTTTTTTTTATTCACTAGTGGGAGGTGGCCTGGCCAGCATTTATTGCCCATCTCTAATTTCCTTTGAGAAGGTGGGAGTGAGCTGCCTTATTGTACCATATGCTGTAGGTTGAGACACAATGCCCTTAGGGAAAGAATTCCAGAAATTTGACCCAGCAACAGTGAAAGAATGGCGATACATTTCCAAGTCGGGATGGTGAGTGGCTTGGAGGGAAACTTGCAGTTGGTGGCGTTCCCATGTATCTGCTGCCCTAGTCCTTCTAGATGGAAGTTGTTGTGGGTTAGGCAGATACTGCCTGAGAACCTTTGACTAGTTTTTGCGCTGCATCTTATAGATAGTACAAATTCCTGCTACTAAGTGTTGGTGGTGGAAGGAATGGATGTTTGTAGATGTGGTGCCTGTCATGTAGGCTGCCTTGTCCTCAATTATGTCCTGAATGGTTGTACAAGCTTCTGTCATTTCCTAATAACTCCTGTGTCCTCACATTCGTCATAATGAAGCTTTATGTTATGCCCTCACGCAGTGTGTTGTGGAGGCTTCCAAAGGAGCTCAATGTCATCTTTTCATAACCTTAGTCAGCTGTATGTTGCACAACCAAAATCTTCATGTTATTAAATTGAAAGAATTGAATTCTACCAGCCAACATGAAAGCCACTAACACCCTCATCCACCCAAAGATAAAGTATTCAACAAAAATGTCTTTACATACCTCCAATTCAATCTGCAAGTATGACAGCAACAAAATGTTGTCTTTCAGCCCTATTTATGCAATGTGTTTCAGATATGAAAAGCTCAGGTAATGCTTTTAAGTGTGTTTGTCTGATTACATTTGCTCAGTTGACATGTGCACAATTGGTCATGGTAATGGTCAAGATTGCTTGAGACCATAATTGTTAATATGCATTCTTGTACAATGAATGACCTACCAATGAAATGCAAATTCAAGCCAGATGGATGGCATTCCCAAATCACTGCACTCATGTTATTGCAATTGCCTGCCTCCCAACAGAGCCTCAAATTCCAAACAATTTAGTCCACTTCCAAACAATAGATAGTAACTTATTCTGTCTAGTTTGCACATGGTGTGCCGTTGTTGCGCAATTTAATTTTGATCCAAGATGGCAAGATTCCACCTTCATGTTCTTGTGAGGAACTACACTTCATGTTCTCTTTTATATTATTGTCCCTGTGCTGAGCCCTTTACATAACTATTAATATTCTCACATTGCCCCCAAGTCCCACGGCTTTGCAAATTGCCGTGCAGCTACCAGATACCAGCTCTGACTTATATGTCAGGAATTGGTACCAGCTAGTTTCTCAGGGAAGGAGAGGAGAGTTGGAAGTGGCACAGAAATAGGATGAGTTGGACTAAAAATAATGAAATGCAAATACCCTCACCATCACTCATGCCACATGGAGAGGAAAATTCTGCTCCATAACTCAATTTGCTAAGATCTTGGGAAGAAATTCCAAATTTTTATCAATTTGGTAATTACAGCTGGGACTCGGATATTGATAGTATAATTCTATGAAAATCTTGATAATTCCAGTATAACATAAAATTGTTAGATATGTGCTGTTATTTTTGATATGTGCACTTGGTGGTTTTGGCTCCTCACTGAGAGAATGAAGTCATTATGTAAAACTAAAGCATGAAACTTTGACCCTCTAGAAGTGTTTTTGGCATGTCTGTCTAAAACAGTAAGCTTGAATTGCATTTGATTAATATGATTTTTAACTTTTGCTTCACATTCTAGAATTCTTCTGCTGAAGTAAATTATTCTTCAGGCATAAGATCTACCTCATTTGTTAACTCATCCTGTGACACTACAGGCCATCTCAGGTACAGATGGATTTTAATATTCTAAAACACTTTGAGGCCTCTTTTAAAATTCTGGGACGTTGAGAATTGTGAGAGAGTTTTGAATTGGAGGGTTTATTTTATCTACCTAGCTATTAACACTTCTTAGCCTACCATCAACATTGATTTGAGACAACGTAGCAGATCTTAATTGGAATTATTCATATCTGCTATCTCCTAATCCTCCAAAACAGATTGAACTTCTCACGCTGGTATCTATAGTGTACTTTATTATTGTTTCATTATACACTCTATGTTAATATTAATCTTAGTTATCCTCACCTGAATATCTTATTACTCGCATTCTACACAATACACAAATGCAAGGAATCAAAAGAAATCATTATAGAATCCCTTCAGTATAGAATGTGGCCACTTGGCCCATCAAGTCCACACCAATCCTCCATGGAACAACCTCCCCAAACCCACCCCCCTACCCTATCCCCATAAGCCCACACTTACAATGCCTAATGTATCTAGCCTGCACATCCCTAGACATTACAGACAATTCATCATAGCCATTCCACCTGATCTGTATTTTTTTGGATTGTGGGAGGAAACTGGAACACTTGGCGGAAACTTGCATTCACAGGGAGAGAACATGCAAACTCTACACAGAGAATCACCCAAGGCTTTGGGTCCCTGACACTGTGAGGCACCACTGTGCCACTGTGCTGCCAGATCCAATATTAGTAGAGTATTATATCCCATTATATCTCTTACATCTCTCAATCAGATTTTGCCTTTTTTGTTGTCAGGGATATCCTCAGGTATTCTCCCTATCAACCATCATAACATGACAGTGAAGCCCAAATCACAGCAACCTATTAGAAGAGCTGCTGAAGAAATTTCTGGCAAATTTTTTTGTGTTTTACCTATAGTTTTCATCTCCTCATATAGCCTTTTTGTGGTCTATCCTGAGGGATATACGCTTAATTTGTATTCGATCTATTATGTGATGATGTTCTATCTTTTGTGATGATGTTCTATCTGAGAAAATACTGTGTGCAGATTTTATGCATTTTCCTTCAGAAGTATTTCATTTGCTTTGTAATCTGAAGTGAGTTTGTTGACTATGTAAAAATAGATAATTGTGAACTTCATAAAATTGTTTGTACAACAGAACAATCTGGCCTTCTTTCTGTCTATACAGCTCAGTGCTCCAGCAAAATGCTTCTGTACATCTGGGTGGTGGTGATTATTGGTCGAATCGTGCTGCTGCTTATAAAGGAAAGCCTCACAGGGCAATCTTTGAAGAAAGTCTAGAAAAGATCTACAGAAATATGTACAAGAGAGCTTCAGATAACACATAATGAGTGCATGGACTAATATATTTCTGTTTGTCACTGTTGTATCAGGTTAAGAGCTTTTTCTCCAGCCTGTTTGTTGTATTACAATCCATAAATAATGATAAATAATTAATTGTATTGTTAGTATGTTTTTCACTTGTAGAAATAATTAATGTCCATAATGATCATGATTACTTATGGCTTTTGATATTATCAGGAAAATTTAAATTTTCAGTATTTTCCCTATTTATTTCGAAAATAAAGTCTACAACTTGATTTGTGGTTAGATATGGGAGGGAACAATTAAACCAGACGTTGTCAGAACAATTTAAAGCATTTCTTAAAATATTTTACATTTTGTAGTCAAAAGACTGTAGAGCAACTCTGTAATTAATTTTTTGAAATATTTTGTAGCAGTAAAGTATGATGGGTTAGTACTTGAAAAATTTAAAGAATTAGTATTAGTTAGCTCAGCTTGCTTGTGTTTTGTTCATCATGTTAAAAGGAACAGAATTTTAATCTAAGGCAGTGCCTGGGAAAAATTATGTTTGTGCCACTAGTCTCTGTTTGAAGTCAAAATGATATCTATTTTTTTTAAAAGACACACTCCCCATTAGATGGAAAGGCTAAATGTCAAATATGATGACAACAAAGGACAGCTGTCTTCTTTTATGCAGTCCTGGCTCACAAAAGAAAATCACTATTAATCAGAAATTCCCAGCCTGTTATAGTATACTAAGCATTATGCTTCCATATTTATGTCATTGTAGAATTCCAAAAAAAGTGTTCATCCTTACTAATCTTTACTGTTTAGACAGTATAATATGCAATAAATTTTAAGCTCATGCAGTTGTTAGGATTTAGACAGCTGTATCACTAAATATTAGTTTCATGCTTCATGTTCTCACATCTTGTATATTCAACAGAGCTGCGTTTGTGTGAGAATAATTTGTGGTCTGGCAAATTATTCCCAAACACAGCAAATATTACTTAAATAAAATTTTCTTTTGTATTTGAAAATCTACATATTTTTCAGTAATTTCTACATTTAAGGTCTCCCTCAGTTGTCTATTATAATTCTGGATAAACAGTGTAAACAACCCTTTATGCTGATTTTCTAAGGTTTGCACTAACGTGTTAAGATGACAATCTGATCGTGTTAAAATGTGACTGATTTATGAACTATGTCACTATGAGCTTTTACTGGGAAGAGTTAAACATTGCAACCTGTGAAGTTAAGAATCGGTATAGGTAATTCAACATTACAGAAACTGTTGAATTGCTTTAGAAGACTCTTTGTTAATTTTACTCATACTTTTGATGACTTGTACACTCCAGTTGTTTAAACAAACTAATTTATGTTTGTGCAGATCAGTATAAGTATCAGTTTTGTACCCATAACTAACTTACATTTTCATTAATCTATTCATACAAAAAGTCTCATCACGTTAAAGGAATAGTTCAGAATAGAATGTAGAATATCCTGTAATCTTAGGTACAAGTACCTGGGTACAAATCTTGGGTACAAAAGAGGAATAAAAAGACAAGTAATAGAATCATTTACAGTGTCTAAAAAATAAGTTAGAAATAAGATAGTTATAACATAGTTAAAGGATTGACATTACAGTCTGGTAAAGAATTTCAAATAGCAGCAGCTGAGCATGTGGTCTGACCACCCGCGCTAGTCCCCAGTCCAACAACTGTCCTGCTCCACTCCAAGCCTCCAGTCTGCTCCAGGACTCATTTCCCCTCGCACTGCTCAGGGACTATTTTCCTCATTACACTATGCAAGATATTTCTCAGTAAAAAACCAGAAGTGATTTGACTGACGTGATCTGGTATTATTTCGATTTCACAGTCAGTATAATTTTGAAACTTTCCAGGCTGCTCATCAAACCACCTTAAGTATTGCAGTCTGTTTTTATTTTACAATAAAGAACTAACCAGATAGTTAGCAAACTTTAATTTTCTGACTTCAAAATATGTCGAAAGTACAAGGCCATGCTTTATTTGATTCCACACTTTTCATTGCTCTGGAGTAGCCGAACTGATGTGTACAGTATAACCACCTTATTAGGCTCTGATTTAATTTTTGGCAGAAAAGATAACTCCTTCTCTAAAACTGTATGTTAAAGAGATTACATTTAAAAGAAAATTTTGTTGCAATGTGAATCAAAAATAATGATAATAAAACACTGCTGAAGATTAATTCTAATTAGATTGCATATGTGTTTTCCAGAGTAGTGCATTAAAAAAATGCAATAATTGTTTGCAAATAAAGTAATCTGCTTGGCAGATCCACAGGCTTGATTGAAGGGAACTGTCACAAGTGCTGAGGTATAGTTCACTACTGCAGTGTGCTAACGTCAGCAGACTTTTTTTGCAATACGTTTGGGACAAGTTTGCAAAATAATATAAAGATTCACAAAAACAAGGTATAAATTATATTAATAACAAGTGTGACTGTGTAATATTTATTCACTATACAGTTGTGTTATTTTGAATAGGTTAATTGTATTATTTTAAATGACACAGTCAATATTAAAAGCTTTGTTTAATAAAAGAATAACAGTACTCAAAGTTCCTTTTTTTGCAACTAACTGCACTGAACATCAGGTTATAGAGTTTTGCCATAGTTACAATTGGACATAAGACAATAAACCCAAATCTTCTAGATCCTCAATTTAACACAGTGCCAAGTGAGTGGTAAAGGAGTACAGGAGAGCAACGATCGCATCAGCCTGCCCGGGCAGACCAATTAAAGTTGTTAAAGAGCTCATTACGATCTTGTTAAAAGGAAACGTTGAAACTTTCATGGGGGTTAACCAACTGTCTAAGTCTGACCAACTGTAGGGGCAGGTACAGAATGGTGAACCAGTTATGGCCCCTCCACGGAATTACCACAACCCCATAAGAGGGCTCATGCATTAAGGGAATTTCAGTCTTTGTAAGGTATTAAACTGGGTCATCAGAGCAACCCTGCCTTTGCAGGGCTAAAGAGTTTGTGGCAAAATTGCCAATCAGTAGTTAGGCTACAATTTGCAATGATGGCACAATTCTCAGATTTTGGGTCTAGTGGCGATGAGGGACAGCATACTCCATAGGAAACATGAAACTCCAAACATCAAGAGGACACAGGAGAACAAAAGAAGCAAGAAGGCAGCAAAGGCTATTTCCTCAACACAGGATCTATGTCCAAAGAAAGACAACCTGGTAATGACTGAGTGCCACAGGAGACTGCAACTGTAAAACTAGATCATCACAGAAACCTATGCCCTCATCACTGAAGATTTCAGACTTTGAAATACTGGTCACCATGACTATGACCATGACTATGAGTAGTCATCAAAGTCACTGTGCTGTTGAACTTTGTTCAACACTGCATTTTGCAGTTACAGATTCTCTTTCAGCCAAGATTGGGCAGTTTTTTGTTTATAAAGCAGCGGGCATGGTGGACCTCAGCAATAGATACCCCCAGGTCCAGGTCATTATGAGCTGCAACCTTGTGGCATCAAGGAACACCGGTACCAACTCAATCAGATTCATCAACAGAAAATGCTTCCATTCCCTCAATCTTCACCGACCTGTAATCATAACAAGAGCTTCCTGTATATATATTCTTCTTTCTTGGCATTAACATGGCTTATCCAGCCTCTCATCTTCACACTGCTTCACATCTTTACCTTGACTATCAAAATCTACAGATGATCTCCTGGGGTCATGAGATATCCTTTGAAGAGATACCTCCTTCTGCCTCTGTGGAGCCTCAGCAGAGGTACAGAAATGGTAACAACGAGGCTACCTGCTCACAAGGACAACCATTGAGCAGGTTATTGGACTTGAAGGTGCAATTCCAGACCTTAACTAGTCAGGTGGTGTCCTCCAATTCCCTCCTGCTGCATTCTTCACAAGATGGCACTGCAGGGAGGTGTGAACCATGAAGACAGTGAGACCCTGGAAGATGACACCGTGTCAGGACAAGAGCAAAAACTGGAAGTGAGAAAGCAGGTGAAGATGGAGGTGAAGGGACATGAAGCACTGAGGTACCCTAACAGCAACATGGAGGGGATGGTTCAGAATGCAAAAGGCTTGTCAGGATGTCATGAAAGTCAGGGATCATCAGAGTCAGGAACATTTCATTTTAGTCCCTTTGAGCCAGGTTGAGTGGCATAGCATGGAAAAGAATCTGAGGTACTTGTGCTGACACCTGTATGGAAGATACAGCCTGGAATATCTAACCACTTACTATTATTGAAGGAAGCACATCTGTCCAAAGGCTTTGCCCTCAACATGGAGAATCAATAATCTGTTTCATCATCTCATACCCCTTTACCTGTTACGAAAACAATAATAGGAATCTTAGATGTGTGGCTTAAAGTGTAATTTATATAGCGCAGAGGAAAACAATGGAAAGAGACACACCTCATGGTGCTGCATGTAATACACTGACCTCTGTGTTTTATAACTCCTACGTGGTACTCGCCTTGTGATCACAGAAAAGGTGGAGACAAACTGCTCACTCATCTTTGCCATTGGTTGAGATGCATATCACTGTCATCACTGAGGCTTCCACCAGGCCATCTCTGGAGATCTGCACCTAGTGTGACCCTTGTCCTCCTCAGTGATGGCCTCAACCCTTAACTGCTGTTCCAGATGGCACCTTCAGACATCCCTACATTATTAATACCATCCTTGGGTCAGACTACATAATGTGGCATGGATCCTGTGAATGCCAGTACGTAGTTCCTGCAGTCAATCCAGGTGCTGCCATACGCCCCTGTCCAAGGGGTTTTCCACCTTTTTTTATGGAGGAGTTCACATTTTCATAATCCTGAACTATTGTACGGCACATGAAGTGAATGAACTTCACCATTCTCTACACAATATTCCACACAATCTCAGTGAACCCTGACATGTAGGAACATATCATCTGCTGATATTTAAGGTAAAGCCTTCTTTTTTATGATTCCTGAGGCCCTGCATTTGCTCTCAGCTCAGGATTGATGTGTCTGACCCACTTTGAGATGAACTGCCCCATTTTTTCTTTGCCTCCAGCATATTGTCCATCTCAATAGTACTACGATTGGATCTATCAAGATGAGTGTATCAGCATTGGTGGACAGGTGCGATAGGTGTCACAGTGCTTCTGTCATGCCCTTCAAGTTTCTCTGGACCCATGGGGACAGGGACTATGGTATCCTGGATTTGGACAGCTGCACCTATGAGAGACACAGGAAGAGATGATGACAGCTAGCCCCAGGGAGTAGAAACCGCCACTGTGCTGAGGATCTCTATTTTAGTGCAAGACACACTATTGGATGGGGTTGAGTAGTACATTCCCTTAATGACTATGTTACCCTCTTTAGTGACATGTGCCATGGTGTTACGAGGAAATCCTTGAGTAAAGTTTGTGTTTTTTGAGACAGACCTTAATTGTTAAAGGAAACGAAGAAAGAAAACTGAACTTTCCAGTTTCTAAGGAAACTAAGATTGAAACTGGGAATCTGAAACCAAAATCTTTAATTGAGATCATATAAAAAGAGATAGAGCCAACAACTCAGTAAAAGATAATAAGTTTAGTGATGGCATTAAGGAATGCTGTAGACGTCAGAGACTAGGTCCAGAAACTGTAAATAAGCAAAAGCATAGCTGATGCAGAGACAAAAATAAAAGTTGCTGGAAAAGCTCAGCATCTGTAGAGAGAAATCAGAGTTAATGTTTCAGGTCAATTGACCCTCAGAACGTTAGTGCAGCTGCTTTTGTCACTTAAAGATAGCATTCTATGCTATCCGGACCAAGTTGCAGATGTATGCCATTGTTGATGAAGACCATACCATGGCATTCAGGTTAGTTGAGCACTGGTTTGGCTGGGCACAAAGTTACATACTGGATCGAGAAGAGCTAAAATTCTCCATATGGAACACTGAATTTTGAAAGAACTTGTGACTGTGTTTGATGACTCATACTGACTGGAGTGCTGAGCCAATTCATAAAATTTATCTTAGTCATATCTGTCATTTAATGTGTAATTTCTAGTTTGTAATCGATTGCAACTTTCCTGTTGTTGCATGTTTAATTTTCATTGATTCTGGGTTTTTTGAGCATAGGAGGTTTCCTTACATAGTGTTTAGTGTTTGCTTTGTTTGACACTTCTATGGTCAAAATTCTTCTATTTTAAATCATGGAATCCTGTAGCTCATTTTTTCAGTTAATAACTGGGATTTTGTCTTCTTCTTAACGAAAGAAGCACAGGTCTCAGTCCAGATTACAACAGGCTGACATGGTAGGAACACAACATCCTTCCTCCCTTTGAGCCTGCTCCCGGACATTTTGTACACTGCATTCTGTAGCCAGTGTTTAAAAGTTAAGACAAATTGAGTGGTATTACTTGATTTGAGTCAACATTAAAATTCTTTGTATCTGATCTATAACAATGTTTTCCATTAGATTTGAAAGGATGTGGATGCTGCTTTTTGGTGACATTCGGCAGGGGATCTTCTATGCGATGTTGCTGTCATTTTGGATTATCTTCTGTGGGGAGCACCTCATGGTTAGTTTTCTGTGAAGCACACTTGCTCAGCTTCAAAAGTTTCCTAGTTATTTATTTTTATCTCAAATTCAAATGAAGACTGACTATTTTAGAGACATGTTTAGCCAAGGGAAGGAGTTTTTTACATTCAATTTCAAAACTTGGAGGCAAGAAATTTGCAGGGTACAGCTACCGTATACCATTTTGAACAGAAACGATAAGCAAAGATTGTCCTGGATACATTATGCCCAAAGGATCAGCATTTACCGTGTCAAGACCCTTAAGAATCCTATGTGCCTCAATCACATTACTTCTCATTCTTCTAAGCTCCAGTGGGTAGAGTCCTAACCTGTTTAACCTTTCCTCATAAGAGAATCTCTGAATACCCAGGGTGATCCCAATGAACCTTCTCTGAACTGCCCCCAATGAAATTATATCTTTCCTCAAATAAGGGAAGCAAAACTGCTCACAGTAGCCCAGATGTGATTTCACTAGTACCATGTACAATTGCAGTAAGACTTCCATACTCTTATACTCCACTCCCTTTGAAATAAGAGTCAACAGTCCATTAGCCTACCTGCTGTGCCTATGTGTTAGCTTTCTGTATCTCATGCACAAGTATCTTGCTTTGTATTGCAGCTTTTCTCCATTTAAATAATACTTTGTTCTTTTGTTCTCCCTTCCTAAATGAACAACTTTGCATTTACTTGCATTGCACTCTATTTGCCAACCTTTTGCCTATTTACTTAACCTATTAATATCTCAAAATATATAAAAATAAGTCACCTATTCATTTTGGGAAATTTGTAGATTATGCTTTGAGTATAGGAGTTGGAAGTCATGTTGACGTTGTGCAGGACATTGGTGAGGCCTCTTCTGGAGTACTGTGTCCAGTTCTTGTTGCCCAGTGAAGGAAAGATATTATTAAGCTGGAGAGGCTTCAGAAGAGATTTACCAGAATGTTGCCGAG